GTCAGCAAGTCGGTCGCTTTTCAAAGAAGTCTGGCGACTGCTGATCGAGAGAAGACATTTTTGATTGGGTCGAGGTCGAGCGACGCGGCCTTTCGAGTTTTCCGACTTCATTCTCTGCTCTCCACTATGTTGCCAGCTTCCTTTCAGCTCAGACATTCGGGTCATATTGTTCCTGTATATTCCCTGATGTCGATTCCGTCCGGAATCGGTTCCTGGCCGTCGGCAAGAGGCCGCTACTCGCAGATATTGCACGGCTGAGCGGCGTCGAGGTTCTCCTTGAAGCAAACGATGCGACGGAAGCCTTTGCTAGAAAAGCAAAGGGGCGGTGTGCTTTACGGTTCGGGCGACTTTCTTATTTCCAGATTCCTCAAGCAGAACAGAGGCTTGAACATCCGAGGACTATCCCCCCCTGCTTCACTCGATCGGTGCGGAATGGTACTCCCGTTGATCTAGATCCCTTTCCTCTTGAAACGGTTCTCGATATCGCGGCTCGTTGCGAACATTTCTCGATCGGCGAGCGAAAGTATTCGTTCATCCAGTTTGGGCATCGTTGCAAGCGGTCGGCCAGAACGAGTCAGATGTCAGACGATCGAACACGCTCCTCCCTGCTTGAATTCATTTGCATACATGCGTTAACATCAATAACATATGTTTACAACTTACAAATATTTCGATTACGCGTTTCTTCTTTGAATGGAAATATTCAGTTTAGGTACAGCATTTGCATGGAATCGGTTAATGGGAGAAACTCAGACTGCATTGGGTTCGACCAAGTCGAGTGAAGAACTCGGAATATAAAACTCAGAGAGAAAGGGGGCATGCATGCCGTAGAACCCTCCAGATGTCTGATGAGATGACTCACGCTGGAACTCTCACGCTCCCTACATTGACGAAGAGGAACTCATGAGTGTCCTGACCATGCGATGGAGGTCTTCCCGATCGAAACTCTCATTGCATCCTCGACCAGCCATTCGCGTACCTACCGAGTCCAAGCGGAGTGTCTCTTCCTGTTCGAGTGTGAGGATTGCTTCTCTTTGGGCTTGTGGACATACTGGGACTCTCACGCTCGGACAGATTCGCTTCCGTTCGCTCAGTCTGGGTGTCTGTAACCAATCATTTGCGTCCGTTGGCATTGTTTCCTTGTTTCCTTTCGTGCAGTTCGGCCATGTTGCGTAGTGTTTCGTGGGGTTGCGCAAGGTGAAATTGCAAGATATTTCTAATGGATACGCCATGGAAGATGTCGGGCTCCGCTCTAACCCAGAGGAAAGTGCGTAATCCAGTCCAACTTGGAAACTTGATCGAGATTGTTTTACGTGAGGGCCCTGCCTTTAAAGAAGCCCGTACCCAACGTCCACCTTGATTCAGTGAGTCTGCATTTCCCTTCCTTTTATTCTGGATTCATTCGAAAAGAAACTGGTAAGCTCCGACCTGGACTCAGATGAAGGAGAGTGGAGAAGTGTCATGTTTTTGAGGGGACTGGAAATCCCAGGATGGAAGGAATCTCTAAGAATGTTCACATTTTTGACATGCCGTGTATGGGAAGTGCTGACATCACTGGGCCAGCCAATCGCACTCATTTTTTTAATGCTAAAATGGCAGAAGGGATAGCGTTTATGCTCTGGTAACTGAAGTTTCCTTCGGATACTTCGTACTGTTTTGGCAAGTCCCTGCAAATAGAAATGCTGCACGCAAAACTCTCTACTCGAGTATCATTAGTGGTCAGATAGGAGGGAATGGAATCTCGAAATCTGGCTTGAGATGAAAATTATGCGACCGTCATCAGTACTGATTCAGACGTTTCCGACGAGTTTCGCTAGAGAGCATGAATAGACCTGAATTAGGAATTCACCTGACCAGAATGTGCACCTTCGCATTTCTTTCGCCAGGAATGAGCTGGAAGTTTTTTTTTTTTTACCAATGCAAAAATTATCGTGGGGCAAAGATGACAGAGACGGTATGAAGTTCATATCCATCTGATAGTGCTGAGAAATGAAAACTAAATGAACATTCATTCATTCCTTCCTTTAAGTTTTGAGGATTTTATGTTTCTCAATTATCGAAGAAAATACGCAAAAAAGTAGCCTCCTCTAAAGATCATTGATGCAACAACTGACCGAGTTTTCACTTTAGAGCCCGATAATAATTATTCACCGGTCTGTTTCCGAGTCTTGAAGCTTTTCATGCAGAATGAGAATATCTCTCTCGGAGCGTGACACCGGGACATCCCTTCCACAGTGCGTGTGCTCGTCTGGAAGTTCTCGTGCTCTCCTTTCCAAGCTTTCCACGCTTTCAGCGAATGAATAGAGAGACGCAGATCTTCATTGCATTGAGGAGGAGGGGGGAAGGGGGGATGGGGAGAATGTGGCATGGCCGTTGATTGTCTCTTTCATGTGTGTCCAACAGTTCCAAAAAAGGAACACGCCTTTAAAGAATATAGCCCTCATGCAACTAGATTTATTATGAAATGGTCGAATGTTTGCACCCCCTAGAGTTGCAGATTGAAAACGGACTTAAGGCCAACTTTGCAACTACTTCCAGTTGTCATGAGAAGACAAGAATTGGCCAATTTCATATCTCCAGTAGTTGAGTTCGCCAATCCGATCGCATGCACAATCTACAATGAAGCCATTTGCTGTCGTCCGTTCCGAAATTCTCCTCTCGTTCTTCCTGGTGAGTTCTTTTTATGTGAAGAGACGACATGACCGTTCGAAAAAAGGAGGATTTTGTATATTTAGCGTTCTAGTGCGTAATACAGAGGTTGACTAATCTTGCATCACGAGTTGACTATCTTGCATCAGCTTATTTCTTTGTAACGGCGCAGATCAGAGCCGGGAAAGAAGGGAAGTTTCCTCGTTGACGTTTTTATCTACCTGTTATCTCCCCAATGACACGCCACAGATCCTAATATAACTCTTGGGGTCATATGATCCATGCAAGGATCAGCTGCTCGCCCTGCATGGGTCGTTGGGGCCTTAAGGAAATAAGTGGTTATCTTCTTCCGAAATCTTCACACATTTTTGTAGCGCAGGGTGGGCCATAATTATTTACCCACTCGTTCGTTTGGGTCCTATGGACGAATGGAAATGGGTATTTACAATATGTCCCAGAAAACATGCATAATCGCCCTGACCAGCCCGAC